TTTTTTCTAGTGTTTGATCACTGCTCTTCATCACCTTGCTTGAATCAAGGTACCTGCATAAATCAAGCGGCATCTTACTCGTGTGCTTGTCCCAATGGATATTCTGGAACGCAATGCCAAGGTATACATTTCATCAAARATGTTTTGTACTCAAAAGTACATTGCTGTATAGTACACAACGTTTTGGTGTTTTTACTACAAGCACTATAGAGACAGAAAGCCGACAGATGAAGGACTTACAATCCCCTCCCCTCCCCCTGCAATATTGTTTAACATGTCTTCCATAGCAGCGAGGGTCATATTCTCCATCAACAGGCTTCCCTGGAGTAWTCCCCTATATGTACTATACGGGGACGTTCCACCAAATGAGGGTTGTACTTCCTATRTTTACTACTATTAAACAGTGTGTCAATATTTAGGACAATATCTAGTAGACTATTAAGTCAAAATAAAAAAAGATGAAATATTGACATATTTTTTATTGGAACACCACCTTGTTTATGTCAAACTTCAAATCTTGGTTGGATTTTACATTTTACCAGTTTGTCTTGAATAGGGTACGGAATCTCACGATTTTGCTGTACTGAATATAGCTGTAGGATCAGGGTTTTAGAGGTACCAGTGGAACGTACCATTCAAATCTTGATCAATTCCTATTGYCTTGACTGTCCCTATTGGTATTATCTAGTGCAGGCAAGCTAAGAGTTTTCAGTTAGACAGTCGTGTAACTTGAAGCTAGAAATTGGTGTGCAGTCGTGTGCAGTACTAATTTCTAATTTGYAAGAGGAGAAAGTTATTTTTTCCAATCATTTCTCCACCTTTGCCTTTTCATTATCGCGCAGTCCTTTATCTCACAGTTACTGCAAATATAATACAGGACTGATAGTTTCATKTTAGTCCTGTCGAAATCATCACTTCAGATATCTCTAATATTCACGAATATTTTGAAAACACTGTTGATTGCTGATATAGGCTTAAAAGAGTTTGATTTATTCAGATGGCAAGACCGAAACAATATCTGAGAATGTAATCTGATCTGTGTGCACTTTTGCAGAAACACCTTGTTCAACTCCCCGCTGCAGCAATGGTGGTACATGTAACCTAGTCCCGGGTTTGCAGAGTGGATACAACTGTACGTGTACTAAGGAGTATGCTGGTATTCATTGCACTTATGGTAAGTATTGACAGGTATACACATGAACAATGTAAAAGCTATGTAAAAAGTTGACCATCCAATCTAGAAGATCTATCCTACACAATCAAATGTCGAGATTAATTTTACTCCAAAGTATTCCWTACTTTGTCTTTCTTCTCACAGGAATATTGATCTACAACAGAGGATGTCCGCTTCCCTCTAATACCTATTGGCCGTACAATGATAAGTACGACAAACTCGTCTTTCATTCCAACGTTAACATGGACCTTTACGGAATCTGTTTGTCCCAAACAATATATTCGTACACTTCCAGTCAATGCGATTTTACGACAAGAGTTCGCAAAGAAAGTGTGACTGGATCTTATCTGGGCACCCTGTCAGGACGTACATATTGTGGTAGTAACGTTAAAGGGAGCGCAAGATATATTAACTGTCCTCGACTTACTCCTTCAGTCAGGCTGAATGCAAATGAGCGCTACATTCTAGAATTGACAGTCCATAGTCATAATGGCCTCTTAATGAAGTTGGTAGATAAGTATGGGTACAAAGGAGGGCCCTTTACGGCAACATTACCAGATGGATCACGTTCAATAACCTACACATATGAAACCGTATCTCCTGCTGAGCTCACTGATTCTACAGGAACTACAGTGGACACAGGAGGAATTTATGGCATYATTGCACAGTATGCAGTCGACTAACATGCACAGTGTATCACAGTACAGTATACAGTCGACTAACATGCACAGGGTA